ATAGTTCACTGGGTTTTGTTTTGAATCCAGATTGGTAACCAAGTACAAGAATGTTTTCCAACAATTTGGATCTAGATCCACTCTTATAAAGGAGCAATTTAGCTACTTGGATAAAATAGGGTAGTTGGGGTGAACTAGTCTCTCGTTTTGGGAGAGTGTAGACAACTTCTTAACAAGGGCTAACAACTAGGTTTATGAGAAGCATTGTTCCTCTTCCTGCTGGATTACTATACTTTGTTAGCAATTCTGATTGTGAATAATTAACTCTTATTATTTGTATTTACTGGCAGGTATTGTTTTTACTTTTTAATAACTTCAATAATATTCAGCAGGTGGTTGCTAGTAAGCTTCAGCAGGAGCTCTGGTGAAAATGCTAAAAGGCTGGAGTTGTATGGAGAAGGAGTGTTCCACAGTGGGGGAGAGAGATAGGAGCACTCTGCTTCTGATCTTTCGATGTTTGAGGGCACCTAAATTTACAAAAATTCTAATGGTCCCAGTTTGTAAATTTAAGCTTCAATTTTTCAAATTTTAAGTGTTTTTTTTTAAGAATAGCACATGCATAAAGTTAGAAGTAGTTCAGAAAATGTTCACCCACTCATTCCTAAGATGTCAGACTTAAGAAGAAAAGTTGAACAGTTTGGGCCTTTACTGGTTAGGGCCTAGAATAATGAGAGCTGATGTTCATGTTTCTTTATTCTTTAATCAGATGTGGCCAGCATTTGTTTGTTGTTCTCTATGAGCTGATTGGCTCACCAGACCATTTCAGACAGTAGTTGAGTTAACTACATTGCTGTGGTTCTGGAGTCAAAAGGCAGCAGAACAATTAAGGATAGCATTAACTTCCCTAAAGGACATTGGTGATCCAGATGAGATTTTATAAAATAACAAATAACGATGGTTATATGGTCACCATTGGATGAGATTTTAATTCCAGTTTTTATTGAATTCAAGTTTCACCTGTTATGGTGGGATTCCATGTCACCAGTACACTTCATCTGATGAAGGTGCAACGCTGCAAAAGCTTGTGATTTCAAATAAACCTGTTGGACAATAACCTGGTGCCATGTGACTTCTGACTTTGTCCACCCCAGTCCAACACCGGTACCTCCCCATCAGAACATTAGACCCGGTCTCTGGTCACTAATCCAGTGATGTTGCCATTGTGCCATTGTCTCCCCAAAGAGGAAGATATGTCAGATCTCAGGGAAATTTGACAGAGTGGATTATGGTAGCTCAGTGGTTAGCACTGTTGCCTCATAGCATCAGGGACCCGGGTTCAATTCCAGTCTTGTGTGACTCTGGAGTTTACATTTTCCCTGTGTCTGCATGGGTTTCCTCTGGTTGGTCTGGTTTCCTCCCACAATCCAAAGATGTGCACATTAGATGGATTAGTCATGCTAAATTGCCTGTAGTGATCAGGGCTGTGTATGTTAGGTGGATTAGCCATGGGAAATGCAGGCTTACAGGGATAGCGGGGTGAGTCTAGGTGGGATGCTGTACGGAGAGTCAATGTGGACTTGTTGGACCAAATAGCCTGTTTCCACACTGTACGGATTCAATGATTCTCAGAGTTATTAGTTTGTGGAACTCTCATCCAGAAAGCTCTGGAGGGTGGGCATTAAATTTATTTGAGGTTGAGTTAGGTAGATAGATTTATGATAGACTGGAGAGTCAAAAGTTGTGGATCAGATCGTCAAATAGAGTTGAACCTACAGTATGATCATATTGAATGGCAGAGCAAGGTCAAAGGACTGAATGGCCTACTCCTTTTTCCTAAGTAAGCCCTATGTTCCTACACTGGCAAGATTTCATTATTGAGCAGGCACCGATTTTACCAGATTTAACCAGATTTATTTCTGAGATGATGTTTTTAATGTTAGCAACATTTAAAACTGATATGTCTGTGGATAATGCTGTGAATCAGATGAATAGGTGTTGTAGATAAACATTGACCGTGAGATTTTCCTTAGCGCCATGTTCACTCTGGAATTTCCAAAACATTTTTATACAGATTCTAACCATACATATTTTAGTACAACATAAATTATTTTTAGCTTTAAAAATCACAATGTATCCAAATGTTGAAAAATGTGTTTAAAAATATCAAAAATCTGTTTTGGACCCTGGGAAAGCTACTTTGAGCAAAACCTCCATCTTCTTGCAAGTTAGTTTTTCTCCCTATATTACAAGTGGATGATAGTGTTTTCTTGCCTTACTACAATCTTATTAGAAGTACAAGTTGCAATGCACCATTAATAAGACTCACAAGTTTAAACATCTGCAGAAAATCAAACTGAACTAAAGAATGATCTGAAAGTATTTATAAAAAGTCACAAGACAATAATGAGAGTGATAACCCTTGATATCATGGCTTCTTTTGGCTGAGTATGGCATCATGGAGCCTAAGCAAAAACTAGAGCAAATGTGAATCAGGGAAGAAACTGATTAGAGCCATACCTGCCACCTAGAAAGATGGTTATTGTTGTTAGAGGTAAGTCAACTCAGTTCTAGAACATCTCTGCAGGAGTTCCTAGGACCAACCATCTTTAGCTGCTTCATCAATAACCTTCCCTATATCATAAGATGAGAAGTGGGGATGTTCACTGCTGCTTGCACAATGATCTAGACAATACCAAGGCTTGGGTTGAAAAGTTAGTACCACACAAATGCCAGGCAATGACCATCTCCAACAACAGACAACTTAAACTATCATCCCTTGACATTCAGCATCATGACCATCACTGAATTGCCCCACTATCAACATCTTGAATGTTACCATTGCCCAGAAACTGGACTAGCCATACTGATACAGTGCCTATAAGAGCAGCTCAGAGGCTAAGGATACTGCGAGTCACTTCCTCACTCCTCAAAGCCTGTCCACCACCTACAAGACAAGTCAGGAGTGTGATGGAATATTCCCCACTTGCCTGGATAAGTGCAGCTCCAACAACACTCAAGATGCTTGAGACCATTCAGGACAAAGCAGCCTGTTTGATTGGTACCATATCCATAAATATTCACTCCCTCCTCCACCACCGATGCTGAGTAGCAGCAGTGTGCACTGTCTACAAATTGCACTGCATAATTTCACCAAGGGTCCTTAAACAGCACATTCAAAACCCATGATCACTTCCACCTAAAAGGACAAGAACAGCAGATACATGGGAATACCACCATAAGCAAGTTCCCCTCCAAGCCATTCCTTCAAAATCCTAGAATTCTCTCCTCAGCAGCATTGTGGCTCTACCTGCAGCAGTTCAGGACTCAGCAGTTCAAAATGGCAGCTTACCACCACCTTCTCAAGGGCAACTAGGGAAAGGCAAATGCTGGCCTAGCCAGTGGTACCCGACATAAGCTATCTATAGCAACTTGGACCTCAAGTTATTAGGTTACATTGCGGCATATCAAATTTTTGCAATGGGCGGACAATTTTGCTTAATTTGACATGATCGACTGTGTTTGGAGCTGCACTCTGCTCCACTACAGGAAGGACGCTAGGTGCTTTCTCATTCAGAACCTTTCTGATTAGTGCCACTTTGCTTTTGACTGCAGCAATTTCTTAAACAATAAACAGCTGGCACAGATTGGAGATATTAGTGCAACTTGGTCATATTTTATTTATTCATTCTAATGATAAGTCAATTAATATATACAAGATATTACACAGAACTTGAGTGTTAATTTATAGTTTCGATGTAAAAAGGTAGTTTGAAATTCAGATAAATATTTCCAGAACCACTACCTAATTTGCATTATATTTAATACATGATTGCAAAATATTACACTGACAGATGTCAATCAAAAAGCAATAGGCACTTGCTTGATAATAACATCTGGTTTCTTTAGGAATGCCAACATTCTCCAGAATAGCCGGCATCGATCAAAAATGTTTGTCTTAAAACAAGATTATATTCTTAAGACTGACAACAATAATTTTGGTCACTGTTAATATTAGTATATGTATTTTACTCGAAGTTGAATAAGAAAGGGAAAGACAAATTTGCCTCAGTGACTGATGGGTAGAATGGTCTTAGGAATTTGTGAAATTTTCTTTATAAAGAGATCTGCTACATACAGAGATATGCAGCTTCTGAAAGTACTGAATACTGCCCCTTTTATTCTGATGTCAGGACATGAAAGCATAACTATGGGGTTTTAAATAACACTGATACAGAATACTAAAGCTGAGATATAGAAGGTGTAATAACATTCCTGGACAGACTTTAATCATAGAGTCATAGAATCCCTACAGTGCGGAAACAGGCCCTTTGGCCCAACAAGTCCACAGTGACCCTCAGAGCATCCCACCCAGACCAGTTCTTGATTACTTTTGCATTAGTACAGTACTATTTGACTACACTTGGTATAGCTTTAAAAATCTTGTATTTGAGTAGAAGAAACAAAATTAACTTAAAATGTGGTTCAGTAACTTGCTTAATAGTGACAGAAACACATGGCACGTAACGAAGATGAATTCAGTTGCTGCTGCTTTATTAAACTAGCAAAGAATCTCAACACCTTGATTTTATTTCTAATGCCCCAATGTAACGAATGCAGGATGTGGAGAACTCGTTACAAAGTAAGCCTGGCTACATTATGCTTTCTCTTTGCAAAATATTAGCCAGTTTCAACTTTCATGTAGGTAATGGATTGGGTTTGGCTGACTGGGGTTACACGTCAGGTTGAGGGAGGCCAAATTATGGATCTGAGCAAACATCACTCCACACCAGCACAGCTGAACATGAGATAATACAGTGTGGAGCTGGAGGAGGGCAGCAGGTCAGGCAGCATCACAGAAGCAGGAAAGCTGACATTTCGGGCCAGGACCCTTCTTCAGAAATGGGGGAGGGGGAAGGGAGCTTCGAAACAAATAGAGAGGAGGGGTGGGGCTGGGGAAGGTAGGTGGGATGGTGATAGGTGAGTGCAGGTAGGCAGTGGTGGGGATTGGTAAGTGAGGTGGGAGGAGCGAATAGGTGGATCCTTATGCAGCACTTAAAGACTGAACATTAAACAAAGTGGTTTATTCTGGGATAAACGTACAAACAGCCAAACAAAAGGTGCTATTACAGTTGGTAATTGTATTGCTTTGGTGCTCATTATGCTAGTTATCTATTATACTTAATAAATGCAGGGCATTGGAAGTGTTAATATGGAACATCATCAGTCATCTCATTGAATGGTGGATGTTTTCACAAAAAAAAATTTAAAATACAAAATTTTCCCTTAAAACTGAACTTTATGAATGGATGAAATTTCTGGGTCCACATTTCACAGAAAAATGATGGAACAACAAAAAGGCCATTTGTCCCATCAAGCTCACTGTGCATAAACACTAAAATCTGAAAAGTTTTTTCTTATTTTGTTTTCCTTGTCTTCTTGGATTCTATAAAATTGATTCAGTTCAATGTTTCATGTAGTTCTGCAAAATGTGAGATTTATTTAATATCATTTTCAGTTTGAGTTTCCACCTTTTTACACAAGAGATTAAGTAATGGTTTTGTATGGATTTTGAATTGGTTGTAAAGACTTCCTGGTATTATATGAACAATGTAGAAGTCCCCCTGTATTCTGGTCATGATTTCTCCCTCAAACATCATCTTCAAAACCTCTAAAACTAATTTGAGATAACTTGATAAAGTGTTTTCTTTTATAAAATAATGCAGATTATTCCTCAGTCTTTTTTCCTTTGTCCTCACCCAAATCATACAAGTAACTGAAACAAAGAATGCTGGAAGTGGTCTGCAGGTCAGGCAGCATTTGCAGAGAGAAAAAACGAGTTAAGGTTTTTAGTTTGATATCCTTTCAACACAATTGGGAAATGCTCCAGCTCTAATGGGTTTTAAGCAACTACAGTGTGGAGGGGTAGAAACAACAAAAAGTTTAAAAGTTTAGACAGGAGCATTGATTAGATAACAGAATCATCATTGAGGGGTTGGATCAGAGATTAGAAGGTCAGAGAGAATTCTTTAAAAACTGAAATTGATCAGGGGAAAACAAAATGAAAGAAGGGTCTGGAAGAATCGGAGGAAGGTTCTCGAAGGGGTGAAGAGAGTTAACCAGAAGGTAAAAGGGAAAAAACAGCTTTTGATGGACTGAAAGATAAAATTAAGCTATGGTCCAGAATGAACATAAATGCTGGCCTAGCCAACATCCCATATACAAATATAAAAAAAAACTTTGAAGTAACAAAACTAACTTATATTCAGTGTAATGAAACATCCCAAGATACTTCACGGGTTACTAAACTGACGTGAAACTACACAAGGAGATCACAGAAGAGTCATGTTGGACTCAAACCTTTAACACTGTTTCTCTCTCTATAGATGCTGTCAGATCTGTTGTTTCTCCAGCACTTTGTTTTTATTTCAGATTGCCAGCATCCACAGTATTTTGCTTTCAGTAATAATTAGGGGAGATGAACAAGAGCTTGGTCAGAGTGGTGGCTTTTAACGAGAGATTTAAAGCAGGGAAACCAGGTTGAAAGGTTTATGATTTTGATAAAAAGGGACCGACTTGAAACAGGAATTCTTTTCTCTCCATAAATGCTGCTTGGCCTAATCAGAATAATTCCAGGATTTTCAGTTTATATTGCACATGTCAACCAGCTGCAGTATTCTGACTTCACATATGCAACTGAATTTGGAACTCAGTTTCTCTTCTCCAGGAATATGGTTCTAATGAAGGGTCAATGATTACATATAGATATGTTCTACCATGAGATAAATCAATAGTGTAAAGCTGATAGAATTCTTACACCGTGGCTGAGTGAAGTCAATATTTACACAGTCAGGACAAATTTAAAATGATCTTGATTTTGTTTTTAAACTTCTTATCAAGCTGTTCCTGCTAACCCTTAAAGATTACATTTATGATCTATAAAATCTATATGCTGGTCTTTAATTGTCTGAGACCACTATGAAAACTTCCTGTTATCTATTTCAGAGCAGACATCAAGTATTGTTTGAATTTGTCAATATCACATTTCATCATAACAAAGGCTCGATTTTGTTTTTTCTGAAGATTGAGTCTATCCAGGACCATCATCCCTCTGGTCAGTGCTCCCTGTAACTCCACATTTACATTGCATCGCATGTATTCAGTAACAACAGTCTCATCAATAGCAGCAGCTACTGCAAAAGAATCACAGGACACAAATGCTGTTCGAGTATGCACTTCTTTATCACCTTGCTTGACTTTAGCGTATTTTCCAACGTGTTCCGTTATCTTCTTCATGAAATGGGCCTTCTCTGTGCCTTGATTTATCCAGTCATCAAAAAACTCCTGGTTTAAAAGGACGACAGAATCATCAGCTACACATTCAAAGGAATCTCTCATCATCATTACTATATAGTCGAGTTACTACTGACTTGTCGACATGGGAAAGAACAAAAGCATCAGCAAAGCAGAACCCAGAGACTCCTCGTGGCGGACATTGTCACTGATGATATTAAGTGACAACCTCAAACAACTCATAATATTTCAATAACTTCCAACTAGATTTCCTCACATTTTGACAGTAAGATAATTAATTAAGACAATAATGGTAAATTTCTCAATGCCAACATTGACAAATGAACTGGTATAAGGAATCCTTTTTACTTTGAGTGGATTGAAATGCACATGTGGATAATAAAGAATTAGTCCTCAAAAATACCGGTCATGTTTCTGCTTCAAAACACAATTGTAAAAATAGTAAAAATTGTAAAAATTCCTCCCACTTCCTACAGACAAAGGGGGTAGCCATGGGTACCCACATGGGCCCAAGCTACGCCTGCCTCTTTGTAGGTTACGTGGAACAATCCCTCTTCCGTACCTACACCGGCCCTAAACCCCACCTCTTCCTCCGTTACATTGATGACTGTATCGGTGCCGCCTCGTGCTCCCACGAGGAGCTCGAACAGTTCATACACTTCACTAACACCTTCCACCCCAACCTTAAATTTACCTGGACCATCTCTAACACCTCTCTCCCCTTCCTGGACCTCTCTGTCTCCATATCGGGCAACCACCTCGAAACCGATATTCATTTCAAGCCCACCGACTCCCACAGCTACCTAGAATACTCCTCCTCCCACCCACCTTCCTGCAAAAATGCTATCCCCTATTCCCAATTCCTTCGCCTCCGCCGCATCTGCTCCCAGGATGAGGCATTCCACTCCCGTACATCTGTTGTCCTCGTTTTTCAAGGACCGTAACTTCCCCTCCTCGGTGGTCGAGAACGCCCTCAACCGTGTCTCCCACATCTCCCGCATCTCATCCCTCACACCCCGTCCACGCAATAAAAACCAAAAAAGAATCCCCCTCGTCCTCACGTACCACCCCACCAACCTCCGGATCCAACGCATCATCCTCCGACACTTCCGCCATCTGCAATCCGACCCCACCACCAAAGACATCTTTCCCTCCCCACCGGAGGGACAACTCTCTCCGTGACTCCCTTGTCCGCTCCACACTCCCCTCCAGCTCCACCACACCCGGCACTTTTCCCTGCAACCGCAGGAAGTGCTACACCTGCCCCCATACCTCCTCCCTCACCCCCATCCCAGGCCCCAAGAAGACTTTCCACATCAAGCAGATGTTCACCTGCACATCTGCCAATGTGGTATACTGCATCCGCTGTATCCGGTGTGGCTTCCTCTACATCAGGGAAACCAAGCGGAGACTCGGGGACCGCTTTGCAGAACACCTACGCTCGGTTCGCAACAAACAACTGCACCTCCCAGTCGCGAACCATTTCAACTCCCCCTCCCATTCCTCAGACGACATGTCCATCCTGGGCCTCCTGCAGTGCCACAACGATGCCACCCGAAGGTTGCAGGAACAGCAACTCATATTCCGCTTGGGAACCCTGCAGCCCAATGGTATCAATGTGGATTTCACAAGTTTCAAAATCTCCCCTCCCCCCACCGCATCCCAAAACCAGTCCAGCTCGTCCCTGCCTCCCTAACCTGTTCTTCCTCCCACCTATCCCCTCCTCCCACCTCAAGCCGCACCTCCATCTCCTACCGACCAACCTCATCCCGCCCCCTTGACCTGTCCGTCCTCCCTGGACTGACCTATCCCCTTCCTAACTCCCTACCTACACTCACCTTTCCTGGCCCCATCCCCGCCTCTTCGACCTGTTTGTTTCCTCTCCACCTATCCTCTCCTCTATCCGCCTCCCACTCTCTCCCTATTTATTTCAAAACCCCCTTCCCCTCCCCCTTTTCTGATGAAGGGTCTAGGCCCGAAACGTCAGCCTCTCTGCTCCTATGATGCTGCTTGGCCTGCTGTGTTCATCCAGCCCTGCACCTTGTTGTCTCGGATTCTCCAGCATCTGCAGTTCCTACTATCTCTGTAAAAATAGCCCTACAGGAACACAAACATTGATGACTAAATTTTACCTCACCATTACCAAATGGCAATATATATAAAACACTAAAGGAGAGCAGTAAAAGATCCAGGACAAATATTCACATACGGTAGCTGTTCAGCTACCTCGGAGCCAATCAGATAGTTTCTGGCAGGCAGAAAGCCTTCTTCATCAACACAGACCATTCAACTGCTGGCTGACTAGTTTTGTACACACTCTGCTGGCTCTAGCCCATCTGCAGTCCCTCCCCCAGTGTTTAAACAAGCAGCAGTGTAAACAGTATCTACAGTGAGTATTAGTAAGAAGTGCAATAATCTTTCCACAATCCTTGGTTTTTAAAACAGATAATTTCAAAACTACAGAATAAAAAGGTCACAACATCCTGACTTGAACATGTATCATTATTCCCACACTGCTGAAAGTTATGAAACATTAAACACAGTTGAGGGGGGTGCATCTTCAAGATAAGTTCAAGGAAGTCCACCCACAAGAATTCCCACAGGCCAGCCAGATATGCATAATAAATTAACCTTGTCACTGAAGCCCACTTCACATGAGAATTTTTAATGAATTGAATTGTCAAAATTGAAAGTGTAAACTAGTGGAATCTATATCTTACCCAAGGTAGAGAGTGATGTAAACAGTATTCCCATGTGGCTACATAAATTGGACATACAAACTGATTCAGAACAATGGAAGCTGCTTCTGGATCTGATGCAAAGTTGAACTCTCCGCAAATTGTTGTGTTGCCTATCCCTGAAATGAAAGCAACATTTTCACAAACTCAGTGTAATGCAACTTTGAATTCTAAGCAGTCTACAAAAAAAAAAACACACAGCCTAAATGGAAGTACAGTTATTCAGCAATGTGGGCAAAATGTCATTTTCAAAAAATCTAATATCTTCTATTTAATTCCTACCTCCACTTCCCTGCCACCCCACCCCCAACCCACATTTTTAGTGTATGGTGGCCATCTCTTGAAATTGCAAGGGCAAAAACAACAATATATGGGGGCTTCAAATATCAGCTGGGATACAAACAGTGTGAAAGGTTTAGAGGGCATAAAATACTTGAACTGCATTCAAGAGACCACTGTAGCCTGCAGGCAAGAAGCCCACTGATGGAGGGCACAATTCTAGATGTAGTCTAGGAAATTAGACTGGGCAGGTGGATGAAGTGGATGTCAATGATCATTTTGTAGTTAGTGATCATAATACAGTTGCGTTTAGCATAGTTATAGAAATGGTCAAAGAAAAAAAGTTCTAAATTGGGAGAAGGCAAATTTTACAAGGCTGAGAAATGATCTGGCAAAAGTGGACTGGTTACAGTTAATTGAAAGAAAGTTGATGGCAGAACAGTGGGAAGCATTCAGAAGTGAAATTCTATGAGCGTAATATAGATATGTCCTCACAAAGGAAATGAGTGGTACTGCCACATCTAGAGTTCCCTGGTTATACAGAAGCATACAAGGTAAGATAGATCATAAATAATCATAATGTACAGGCCAAACAATGATAAGCCAGTCATTACATATCTCCTTTTGTTTGACCTTGGTGGTGAGAAAATCACTAGAATTAATATTGATAGATAGAATTAACTGTTGCTTGAAAAGACATGGATTAATCAGGGATAGCCAGCATGGCTTTGTGAAGGAAAGGTCATGTTTTCCTAACATAACTGATTATTTAAAAGTAGTAACAAGGAGAATTGATGAGTGTTGGCTTTCTCACCTTTTATGGCATACATTCATGATTTAGACTTAAATTTGGGAGGCTTGAATGAGAAATTTGCAGACAACACAAATATCGCTTCATAGTTGATAGTGAAGAAGTTGCCAGTCAACTGCAGGATACCAACTGTTTGACTGAATGGAAAAGTGACAAATGAAATTCAATTTGAAGAAGTGTGAGATTGTGCATTTGGAGAGGACAAACAAAAGGAGAAATGTAATGCTTTAAGGTACCAGTTGAGCGACAACTGGAGTTGTGTACACTATTCTGGTTACCACATTACAGGAAGGACATCGTTGTTATAAGAGAGAGTACAGAGGAGATTTACAAGAATGTTGCCAAGGCTTGTAAATTGCAATTATGAGAAAAGACTGGATAAGCTGGGGTCCCTTTCCTTAGAAGAAGGGTGACTTAACTAAGGTGTACCAAACAATGAGGTACCAGGGTAGGATGGACAGGGAAGGTCTGTTTCCCTGAGCAGAGTGGTCAATTACAAGGGAGCACAGAATTAAGATGATTGGTAGAACGATTAGAGAAGACATGAGCGAAATCTTTAGCACCCAGAAGCTAGTGGGTCTCTAAAATTTGATGCCGTTTGGCAGTGGAGGCAAAAAACAAAAGCCTCAACTCATTTCAAAGGAACCTGGATTTGCACCTGAAGCTCTGTAACCTGCAATTCTACAGATGAGCTGCTGGAAAGTAGGATTAGAATAGGTAACCAGTTTATTCAACTAGGCAGACATGATGGGAAGAATGTCCTCTTTCTGCTGTAACGTATCCATGGTTCTGTGTCAGGAGAAGTAGTAAACATTGTGTATTATTCATCAATAATAAATGGCTTCACTGCTCTCCTTGGCTACCCTATCTCATTGCTTTCCACATAAAATTATCGTTATAGAGAGTGAATAGGGATTGGGCATTTTTAATGTTAGGCATGAGAAATATGACATAACATTTGGATTTTGTTTAGTCAATATATAAATGCTAGCTTTTAGAAGGATGCTAAATCACAACAGTGATGGGCAATAACTGTCACATCAGGGAAAATATTTATTTTTGTTCTATATGTACACAGGCTACAATTAGAAGATCAGTTTTACAATAAATTTTCCAAAAACAATTTTTTGATGCATAGCAACATTTCTGAACTATAAAAACATTAAGATTGATGATATTGTATTCAATACAATAACAAGCCTTTGTAATATGCATTGTTGAATTAAAAGGCATGCTGAATAAAGAAGCAGACTTTCTCTTGTACCTTCCATGTTTCCTCCCATGATATACAAATGTTTCAGCTTTGTAGAGAATGTAGGATCCATTTTAATTGCCAGAGCTACATTGGTCAGAGGACCAACTGCGATAAGCGAGACCTGCAAGATAGTAGAAAAGTCATTTTCTACAATCAAAATGAGATGTATTCATATAAAACATAAGTGTGCAGTTTTGCTGTTTATAATCATACAGTCAATTTACAAATGTTCAATTTTGTACTCAGTCACAATTTTGTTACCAGCTGAGAGTCCGGTCCTGAATTCTGAACTGTTCGCTCTCATTGAAAGAGCTAAACCAGCTCTTCTCCATTAACTTACTGAATAATATCAAAGTCATTCCTCTTCAACAATTCCAGGAAACTTAAGTCTCCTAGATGAAACCTAGCATCATTATTTCCCATATAAAAATTTCTGGCAATGACATGTTCTTTATTAGGCATGAAATCCAAAGCTTAAACCAACTCGTACATCCAAACAGGGAGAAGCATAGCTGTAGGGTCTGGTTAAAACAGGTCTATAATACTCCCATGAAGCACTTTGGGATGCTGGTATGACTTTAAAAGGGTGCCATACAAACGCATGTTTAATATCCACATAGAGACTTTTTTTGAATGTTCCGTTCAGATAAATGTTATAAAATGTTGCACTGAAACTTGCAATGAAACAGAACTGGGTAAATGTGAATTGTTTTTCTATTGTGCTGGGCACACGTTTTTATCCAAACACACATCGCTGGCCTCTATAAGAGAGGAATAAAATGTCAAAATGGTCACGCAAAATACATAATTGATAAGGAGTTTATTTAGGTTTAGAATCGATGCAAACTGTCTGTCATTGCAGCTGGTTATTAGCCTAATATCACAGACAGATTAAAAACTAACAGTATTCAAAGGCTCACATTTGATCAACAATTAAAAATATAACTAACTAAAATATTGAATGCAAAGCATGTTTTCTTTGTGTCTTTCATTCAGCAAACTGCCCAAGGAAGCAGCAGTCATCCTAGTCATCTCTGTTTGCTCAAAATGACTGCAGCTAAATGGCCAGCCTTTTAACATAATGACAAAAGTTTGCCCTAATCTGGTTTCAATTAGATTTGTTTCGGAATCAGATTTTACATGAAGTTTCCTCCAAGCCACTAGGATTTTATTTTCCAAAATCCTGAATTCCTCACCTGACCAACATGTTCAGTGACCATCCGTATCATGGCATTCACCGCATGTTCTGTTTGCAGCTTATCCAAACCTGGAGCATTGGAGTCTGGAACATCCCCCAGGCCATCCTTTCCATGGTAACTTGAAGCATTCAACCTCTCTCCAAGGAGGGAGCTGCAGGCTCCCCGGAATACAGGGATCTGTGACACAGGGAACATCAGTAAATAATGTCATTATTGATCTGACTGTGCAAAGAAGATTTGAACTATTTGTTCAGGTGACCCTCAAGGATGCCATAGAAGAGTAGTGAGCTGAGAAAGCACTCTGCTTATCAACTTTCCTTCAACCAATATCAAATACATGAACAGAATATTGTTCTTTGTGTGATATTTCTGTGTGTAAATGGTGGCTGCACTTGCTGACAAAACAATACCCTTACATTTCTCAAAGTTTTATTTTCTAAAGTACTTCCAGAATTTGAGAATTAAAGCCTTGATGAAGCTTGAAGTGGTTTTAATCTAGTAGTATTTTTAAGATAAAAAGTCATTTAAAATAAAACAAATTAAACAGCAATTGAAGTTTAATTCAGTCTGGGGATATAGCTTTGTGAACATTTTCCAACCATTAACCACCATTTCAAGTTGGCCCTCATCACTCCCTTCTCAAAGGGAATCTCAATCCATGCAAACCTCCTTTACCTCTCTGAAGTTTATTAACATATTTGTTGCCTCCCAAATCCAACCACTCAGCAAAACTGTTTCCATTTTTCCATCAGAATTCACCCCTGCTAACCAGCACGGAAATGGTCCAAATCAAAGTCTTACGTGGGCATCTATATGATGTTGCTTACCAGGAGATGGTCAGAATAGCAAGGTCAGATTTAGATTTAGATTTTACTGTCATGTAACAAGTGCAGAAGTACAGGAGAACAGTGACAGGTGTCAAATGTTGCCACACATGGCACCATCTTAGGTAAAGGTGCCTAGGTACAAAATGATTAGGTACAAAGTAGTAAAAGAAACAAAATTAAAAAGTTAAGCATTACAGACCTTCCTAGAATAAGCAGAAAAGTAAAGAAATAAGGTAATAGTTAACATTAAAGTTCTTTTTTAATATTGACTAGAAAAATAAAGAAATAAAGTTAAAAGTAAATGATTGCAAGCAGAGGGCCTGGGAAATGGCAAGGGGCAACCATGCATACAGACGTGAGTTCACATGAAAGAAGGAACTTGAGAAAGACAGAAAGTCAGGTGAATTCAGAGGTAAAAGGGAAGAAGAGGTAGGATATCTTGGTGCGCTTTCTGCAGGGTTTCTGGAGTGATACACAATAACAATTCTAAAGGGAATGTAACAATGTGTGGTAGGTTAAGGAGTGCAATGTATCAGAAGAGTTCAAGAAGAAATGAAGGCATGTTTTTTATGAACAGTGCACAGCCAAATCAGTAGCTTGGTCAGGGCAAGTCAGAGGGTGAAGCTGCAGTTTGGGGGAAAAGCAAAACTACTATTGTGCCAGTTTCCGGTCAAAGCCGAGTTGTCAATGCAATCATCCACATTACTACTAAGGATGGCTACGTCTCTGCATGGACAGAAGTGGAAAGAGCAGTGCTGGCTGATTAGCTGACAGAGTCCAAGTTTTGGGCTAGGGGGGAGTGATGGGCAGTAAATGTGGTCTTGTCAACATTTCCCATATTTATTTAATAAAGTTTAAATATAAGAGGACTATTTTATATTTACAAACCACCCCAAGAAGAGGAGCCATACAATTACAAGGGATTATTTCTTAAGCAAACTGTTAAGCACACATCTACTCCAAAACCTTAAAATACTGTTCTTTTATTCATAAACTTTCATCACCCACCTCAGTCCTCTGGCATACACTTAGCACTCGAAGCACATTTCTACACACATTGTCAAGGGTTGTGTTTCCGTGACAACATGTTATACCCAGGAGCTGCACATTAGTAGCTGCAAGAGCCATCATTATTGCTTGAGCATCATCCAACCCACAGTCGACATCTAAAAGCAACAGCTTCTGTGTTGTCATTTTAGAATCTATGAGCAAAACATAATTAGTAAGATGAATTGTCAATCGTATATTTTGATGTGACGTCCTGCTGTTAACATTTCTGACACCATTACACTACAGTGAATTGGTAATCAGTTTGCAGAAAAAAGTGGTTCAATATTTCTGTGAAGATAAGATTCAGTCAAAATCTGTGTCACAGACCAGTCAGGCAAACATCCCTTCGACTATTTATATGAACAAATCAGAAAATGCATGAATGGCTCAGTTATATTGATCATTTGCATTAATGCAAACAAAAAATTAAAAATAATTTATGAACAATTATTAAATACAAAATTCACAACTTCAGGTCATCCCATAAAAGAGTATTCACTGACAGAGATGCCATCCTTGTGGGACATATTAAGCCAGGTTGCCATTTCCCCTCAAATGGATTTAAAAGGTTCTATGGCAAGATAATTCTACTTGGTATCCCAGCTGCTTTGCATATCCTCAATCAGCAGCTAAACAATGATTGTCTTCATTGCATTGCTGTTTGTGGGTCCTTAAACCCATATGATCCATACAAGCTGCTGTACTACCTTACACAGCATCTAGTTCATTGACTGCAAAGTGTAGTAGGTTATCCTGAGTTCATGAAAGATGCAATAGAGATGTGAATTCTTTCAAACCTGGTTGTAGTCTGAACTATGGGTCTCTGCATCCACACTTAAAGAAAGTCAGTAGAATTCTCCTTTTGAAAGGACAAGATTATTCTCACATAAAAGACCCAGTGATCACCTTCATTCTATCAGATTGCTTTTAGTCATAGAGAATATGCCAGCTGTCTGAAAAATCCAGTCAGTCCCATTCTTCAGTTCTATCTCCATAGCCCTGCAAGTTTATTTCCTACAAGTGTCCATCCAATCTCTTATGAAATTATTCAATGAGTATGGTTGCACTTCCTTGTAGGTATTAAGTATAGGTCATTACCATTCACTATTTATAACAGTTCTGTCTCATATGGCCCCTGTTTCTTACCCAAAAAAAAACCACAATGCTGTGATTCCAAGTCTTTGGACCATCAGTTAATGGAAATAGCTTTTCATTTTCTACCTTACCTAAACCAGTTATGAACTTCTGTACCTCTGTCAAATCCTCCTTAATTTTTCACTTGTCATCAAGCACTTATCTAATCCAGAGATAGTAGGAACTGCAGATGCTGGAAAATCTGAGATAACAAGGTGTAGAGCTGGATTAACACAGCAGGCCAAGCAGCATCAGAGGAGCAGGAGATGCTGCTTGGCCTGCTGTGTTAAACCAGCTCTACACCTTGTTATCTCTTATCTAATCTAGTCTCATTTTCCGGCACTTGGCTCATGGCCTTGTATGCTACGATCGTCCAAGTGACCACCTAATACTACTTAAATATTCTGATGGTTGCCACCTCCCCCATCTTTTCAGGCAGTGAATTGCAGATAATCACCACCTTCTGGGTGAGCAAGATTTCCTTAAATCCCCTCCAAACCTCCTGCTCTTTACCTTAAATCTATGTCCCATAGTCATTGATTCCTCTACTAAGGGGACACATTTCATTTTAACTACTCATTTATGCACTTTTTTTTAGACCCTCTCAACCTTCTCTGCTCTAAGGAAAACAACTCCAACCTATGCAATCACAGTTCACAACTGAAACACTCCAGCCCTAGCAACATCCTAGTGAATTCCCTCTACACCCTCTCTAGTAGTAGTTCCTATGGCATTGCAACTGGAACTGCAAACAGTACTTCAGCTATGGCCTAACTGGTGCCTCATATACCTCCATTATAACTGTGTATTCAATGCCTCAACTAAAGAAGACATCTTGCCTTCAAGGGCATACAGAGTTTTCCTTTGATCTTCCTAGGGTTCTAACATTTTTGTGCATTCCCTTGCCTTGTTAGTTTTCCCAAATGCATCACCTCATTATATGACTTTCCCTCCAGGCAACCAGTCATGAAATCATAGAACCCCTACAGTGTGGAAACAGGCCATTTGGCCCAGCAAGTCCACACCACCCCTCCAAGAGCATCCCACCCAGATCCATTCCCCCCGATCCTGTAACCCTACATTTCCCATGGCTAATCCACCTAATGTACACACCACAGGCAACATTTTTTAGCATGACCAGTCTTCCTAACCCACACACATCTTTGGACTGTTAAGAGGAAACCGGAGGACCTGGTGGCAACCTACGCAGACACAGGAAAAATGTGCAAACTCCACACATACAGTCGCCCAAAGATGGGACTGAATCCAGGTCCTGGCGCTGTAAGACAGCATTGCTAACCACTGAGCCATCGTGCCACCCGAGGTGCTCCTGTCACTCAACCAACTTCATATGCGGCTACAGTGCGACTTCCTTTCCCACACCTCCTGAGGTTGCCAACGAAGGTCCTTCTTTCTCAACCTCTCCCCTTGAGCGGTGATCTTCAGATTGCCAGGCATTCAACTCTCTAGGGGACCATACCTGCCTTATTTACCAGGTCCTTCTTTCTCAACCTCTCCTCTTGTCCGAGACCTGATGACCTTCAGGTTAAACCAACAGTCGGACTACGGCGGCTTTATTTACCTTACTACTCTTTTTCTTCCACTGACTTTAACACATTGCTGACAAGTCTGTTAAGTAACATTTTATCAAATGCCTTTTAGAAGTTCAGGTACACTATCATCAATCACAACACTCATCAAAAACTCAACAAAAAACTCAATTAAACTTACATCATGGTTTTTTTAAATTTAGCCCAGTGCCTGAGGTTAAATCGACTAACCAGCAACAAGTAAAAAGATTGCAACTATAAACACAGTGTACGGCTGTAGCCAAGGACCTCTTGTGATCCCGACTCTTGGACCAATAGGTCCGAGTTCCATAGTTTAAAACGTCAAAACAGGTTGATTTAAAATAAATTAGGCCGGTTACCACAGTCTAAAGTTCTCATGAAAAGTCATGTGTGTAGGCCTGTAACGTTAATTTGACCCTTGGACAGACGGTGCCAGTTTGTTCTGTATTTATCTCTTGCACTGTCTGGTTTCAGCATGAAGCAGTACACTTGCTTCAAGATCTTTGCAATATGTGTGTGTGGTCGCGGCATCGAAACTGACTGGTGATTTGCCCGATATAAAATAGGAAGCTGGGTTATAAGCGAGTCTGTTACAGGTTACCTTTGAGAACACTGGCAGTAAAACTTTCCTTGACTAGCTATTTCCCGTCAACTCGTAGCAGAAAGTTTTTTCAGCAAACTTTTTTTTCAGTTATAGGTTGGTTGATGATTCTCCGAACTTTGACTTGCTGCCTACCCTCAACCACAAACTACCAGACGAGTTATTCTGACGAATAATCTTATGCAAAACAGTTTGTAACCCGGAACTTGTTGCAAAGTATCCCGGCGTGAAACAGGTCTAATAATTTCACTCTGCAACAACCGAGAACATTAACCAAATTGAGAGTCTTCAAATTCTGAAAATATTAAAGAGCAAAACAACATACCACATTAGACGCAATCCGCTAACGGTCCCACTGAGAACATAGCCCACTTAAGAGCACATTCCACTACTAGTCACCCTGATAACAACCCCCATTGATTATCACGCAGAAAACACGCTCCATAATTACTCATTTTGAACACAATCAAGTAACACTCAGGTTGAGAGCACTCTGTTAATACTCAGTAACAGCACACTCAAGTAACACATTGAGAGCACACTCTGAACACACTTACTTCTAGAGCAAACTCCACTGATGGACTGTTAGATGCTGGAAATCAGAAACACAAACAGAAATTGCTGGAAAAGCTCAGCAGGTCTGGCAGCATCTGTGGAGAGAAATCAGAGTTAACGTCTTGGAAGCACTTCCTTTGTCATCCTCTTTTCTGAGTGCCTTCTATGTGCTGGGTAAAGAAGACTTTATGGAGGCATGGGATTGAGGGTGATTTAGCGGTTTGGATCAGAAATTGGCTAGCTGTAAGAAGACAGAGGGTGGTGGTTGATGGGAAATGTTCATCCTGGAGTTCAGTTACTAGTGGTGTACCTCAAGGATCTGTTTTGGGGCCACTGCTGTTTGTCATTTTTATAAATGACCTGGATGAGGGCGTAGAAGGATGGGTTAGTAAATTTGCGAATCACACCAAAGTCGGTGGAGTTGTGGATAGTGTGGAAGGATGTTGCAGGTTACAGAGGGACATAGATAAGCTGCAGAGCTGGGCTGAGAGGTGGCAAATGGAGTTTAATGCGGAAAAGTGTGAGATGATTCACTTTGGAAAGAATAACAGGAATACAGAGCACTGGGCTAATGGTAAGATTCTTGGTAGTGTGGATGAGCAGAGAGATCTCGGTGTCCATGTGCATAGATCACTGAAAGTTGCCACCCAGGTTGATAGTTTTATTGGTCGAGGGATTGAGTTTCGGAGCCATGAGGTCATGTTGCAGCTGTACAAAACTCTGGTGCGGCCACACTTGGAGTATTGCGTACAGTTCTGGTCACCGCACTATAGGAAGGATGTGGAAGCATTGGAAAGGGTGCAGAGGAGATTTACGTTGCCTGGTATGGAGGGTAGGCCTTATGAGGAAAGGCTGAGGGTCTTGAGGCTGTTTTCGTTAGAGAGCAGAAGGTTAAGAGGTGACTTGATAGAGACATACAAGATGATCAGAGGATTAGATAGGGTGGACAGTGGGAGCCTTTTTCCTCGGATGGTGATGGCTAGCACGAGGGGACATAGCTTTAAATTGAGGGGTGATAGATATAGGACAGATGTCAGAGGTAGGTTCTTTACTCAGAGAGTAGTAAGGGCGTGGAATGCCCTGCCTGCAAAAGTAGTAGACTTGCCAACTTTAAGGGCATTTAAATGGTCATTGGATAAACATATGGATGATAATGGAATAGTTTAGGTTAGATGGGCTTCAGATTGGTTTCACAGGTCGGCGCAACATCAAGGGCCGAAGGGCCTGTACTGCGCTGTAATGTTCTATGTTCTATGACTTGCTTTGGCATTTGGAACTCAGGCATCCTAAGCATATGGCTGGACTAGTAGAGTTGGTTTTGAATGATTGTGGCCTGGATTATAATGCTATTGGTTCCTTCAAGATCGCAATGTTAGTATGGCTATCCTTCCAGCTGATGCTGAGAATCCACCTCAAACAACATTGATGGTACCTCCCCAAAGCCTTGCGGTGGCTCCTAAATGTAGTCCAAGTTTCAGAGGCCTGTAGAAGAGTCAGAAGGATAACTGCCTCATACACAAGGATCTTGGTATCAGGTTGTTGACTTGCTCAGCAAGCTGGCTTGTTCTCATTCAGACGTTCGTCACCATGCTAGGTGATATCATCAGTGGAGCCTCCAATGAAGCGATGTTATTCTAGTCCGCTTGGAATTTATACTGTTTGGTCTGTTATGGCGTGTATTGTCATTTCCAGTTTTGCACTGTATGGGTTTGTATATGGGTTCCAATTCTATATGTTTGTTGATTACATTATGGGTGGAGAACCATGCATCTAGGAATTCCCGTGCATGTCTATAAAAACTGAAAGAACTGCGGATACTTTAAATCAGGAACAAAAACAAAGTTGCTGGGAAAGCTCAGCAGGTTTGGCAGCATCTGTGAAGAAAAAGTCAGAGTTAATATTTTGGGTCCAGTGTCCCTTCCTCAGAACTAAGGGAGGTTCTGAGGGAGGGTCACCGGACTGAAACATTAACTCTGATTTTTTCTTCACAGATGCTGCCAGACCTGCTGAGCTTTTCCAACAACTTCTGTTTGTGTCCGTGCGTGTCTATGTTTGGCTTGGGCTACTATGGTTATCTTGTCCCAGTTAAACTGACGGCCTTCATTGTCTGAGTGTACCAATATTAAGGAGACTTCATCATGCCGTTTTGCTGCTAGCTGGTGTTCATATATTCTGATGGCTAATTTCCTTCCTGCCTGTCCGAAATAATGGGGTGATCTGTTGACTAGGTGTTTCAATCTCTGTTGTAGGTCCTTTGCCAGTTATATGAAGGTGTGCCTGGTAGGGAGACAATGGGTCTGAGGGGGATGTCTGATTTGGATGTCTGGAAGTCCGTAGAAGTGGGAGCTGTTCGTGCCTTCTGGTTTCATTCTCGTGCAGTCCGTCTTGGTTATCTGTCCTGCATCCTTCAGTCTTAGTGTCTGGGTGATCCTATTACCTAGCTGTGGTGTTGGATCTATCACCACCTGTTGGTAAGTGGTTGTATCTGTGAGCAATGCCTGTGCTTAACATAGTCTGGTTTGTTCATAATGACGGTCATGCGCCCTTTGTCTGCTGATAGGATTATGATGTTCTTGTCTTTCTTGAGTTTATCTAGTGCTTTTCTCTCTGATGTGTTCAGGTTGTCCCCTTTGTACCTTCTGTGTAGTGTGGGGATTATAGTTTGTCACCTTTACACAAACTGGCCAAGGACCTACAACAGAGATTGAAACACCTAGTCGACGGATCACCCATTCCATCCCACTCAACCCAAGAATTCCTCAATACCCTCAAGAACATAAAAATCAGGGACGTCGATATTATGGTATCTTTTGACATCACAGCTTTATTCACATAAATCGACACCCCACTAGCCAAAGAAACAGTGGCCACATTACTAGAGGAAGCAGCAACGCAGACCAGCAGCAATGACAACATACTTAAACTACTAGACCTGTGCCTCACCACATACTTCATCTTTAATGGTCAAGTATACAAACAGATCAACGGTACACCAATGGGGTCACCCATCTCAGTACTCATTGCAGAAGCAGTAATGCAAAAAGTGGAACACACCATCCTCCCCCGCATTTATCCTAATCTGTGGATCTGGTACATAGACCACACATTTGTCATTATTAAACACAACAAATTAGAAGAGACCCACCACCTCATCAACAGAGTATTCACAGGGATTAAATTCACAAGGGAAGAAGAAAACAACACTCAACTTCTGTTTCTGGATGTTAAAGTTGAGCATATGACCAATGGGGAGTTCCAAACCTCATATACAGAAAAGCAACCCACACTGATCAAATCCGCAACTTCCACAGCAACCACCAAAACGTCCACAAACAAAACTGCGTTAGGACACTATTTAAACAGGCCAGGACACACTGCAACACTCCGGAAATACACAGGAAAGAAGAAGAGCACCTGTACAAAATCATCACTATAAACGGATATCCCCACAACTTCATCCGCAGATGCCTACTAAACAGACAACAACAGGAGGACACAGTACACCCTAACACACTGGCCACACTGCCCTACATCAAGAACATATTAGAACTGACAACAAGACTCCTAAGACCACTAGGAATCATGATAGCCCACAAACCCACAGCAACCCTACAACAAACACTCACAAGGATTAAAGACCCCATTCCCACAACATGCAGAACCAATGTGGTTTACAAAATACTATGCAATGACTGCCACAAACGTTACATCGGACAGACAGGAAGGAAATTAGCCATCGGAATAAATGAACATCAGTTAGCAGCAAAACGGCACGACGAACTCTCCCTAATGTCGATTCACTCAGACAATGAAGGCCATCAGTTTAACTGGGACAAGGTAACCGCAGTAACTCAAGCTAAGCATGGACACACATGGGAATTCCTAGAGGCATGGTTCTCCAACCATAATGCAATCAACAAACATATACAATTGTACCCCATATACAAACCCATGAAGACACAAACATCATAACCCTTCCCTCCCCCAACTTCTGTGGACTTCCTAAAGTACACAAACCAGATATCTCCCTCAGACCCATTGTTTCTGTACAAGGCACACAGATATGGTGTAAAATTTGCTCTTTTAGCTTCTTGTCTCATTTCAATTTATCCTTCCTTGGCTCAATATCAACTTACTTTGTTTTATTATGTAACTATGGATTGCCATGTTTACTTGCATGAATGCATGTTTGTATTGTTGTTTTGCTACAATCTACCTTAACCAATAACAAAGTTGGTTCTAGTCTGAGCTGAGCTTTTTGATCTTGCAGAAGGATTACAACTGATTCTTGGGAAAGAAAAGAAATTCA